ATTTCAAATTAGATGTTATATTAAAAATCTGGAGATATATAGTATTATATCCCGGTCCTAATTATAAGGAGCAGTCCAAAACAGTTTCAGCATAGTTTAAAAACTTTATTCCGGTATTAAAATTAGATCTACTCGTTACATTTAATTGCTAATGGTTTTATTGTCTCCTGCATCACTACCCAAATATTAGAGGGTGTCAATGTTTATACCAGCAAGATTTTATAATTAGGACTGGATGTAGTATTTACTTTGTTTAGCACCTATCCATCCATGGACCATATCATGTGCATGGCATGTTAGGAATGAACGGCATCCTTCACAAGCTGTTAGCTCAGAAAAAGGGAAGTCCTGAACCATGGAATTTTAAAACTCCATTATTAGACATCCTTAGTGCTTTATTTTATTTATTTTGACATTACATAAAATCAGTTTTCTTTTTAACATGGGTTGAATTGAACTTTAATTCTACTCTTAACAGTTCAAAATTCTTTTGGATGCAAGCATATCAATTCTATAGCTAGTCTGGTGCTGAGAGCGTTCAACAAGCGAACGACACCAAACCACATCTGCAAAGAAGCAGCCGCTGCCACTTGCAAATGAAGTCCCACCCCACCCCACCCCACTTAAAAAAATAAGAAGAACGATTTTTATTACTAATAAACGTGCATCTCATATTCTAAATTCCTGGCTACCTGTGATCACGTCAAAATAATATCGCCGCACTTGAAATTTATGGGTTACCATCACCCCTTGCCCTGCATCAATATAACCATCATTCCAAATGGTAAGTACGCTTCGTGAACTTCTTTTTTGGTAGATGCATAGTATGCCGTGAGGCTGCAAATATAGCTAATGATAATAAATAAAAACTAGATTATAAAAAATTGAAGAATTATAATATAATGGTGCGCTTAAACAAAAGGCGTGAATGGGTCAACCGAGAGGATGAACATGAAAACAAAGGAGACATGTGAATGGGCACACACTTTTGTCGAGGTTGGTGATATAAAAGGGACAAGTGGAATTAATAAGCCCATTTGGAACAGTTTGTAAGTAGCTTAGAAACTGCTTTTTAATAGTGATTTATGAAATACGAGATAAGTATGTGAGATCAGTTTTATTTCGACTTACGTGAAATATACTTATAAGGGATTTCCACCGTTTTGCCAAACGAGGCCAATAAGGATTTGTTTAACTGGTAAGAAGCCGGTTTATAACCTATAAAGGTATGAATTTAAATCCCGTTGCTGATATAAAGATATTACTGGTAAGTATCTTATATTAAAAAAAAAACCTTGTTCTAATCCTGCTCAGCTTCTAAGACCTAATTTATTTGAAATTTTTTTTGTGTCCAGAAAAAGAGAAAAGGATAAGTGGAGGAAAAGAGAAGAATGAAGAGGGGATGATGAGGGATGAGAAAGTCAAATGGGGAATATTTAGCTTTTAAAGACTTTAGAATGATGGGATTAACATTCCTCCACTTTGTCGCCCCTGTCCCCCTCATTCTCTTCTGTCATCATTTTCCATATTTTGCCTTCTTCTCCTTACGCCGTGCCGCCTCATGGGTGCCGGGTTCCCATCACCTTTTCCCTCCCGGGGGCTAAGGCTAATCCATTGCTTTTCTCTCAGGAAACGAATATCTTTCTAATCACCCAAGAAAAAAAAAGAAAGAAGAAAATGGGGGGGTGATGGGTGTTGGGGCCCATACAGAGTGGGCCGGGGGAGAGTGATGACGTGGCGCGTGGTGGTGGTGGGAAGTGGTGGGCCCAGAGAGGTCTTTGCTTGTTGGGGGGACTTCAATGTGTGACATGATTTGAGACGAAGCAGGGCACTGTTGGAGTGGTGGCTCTGTAGCTTTCACCCCAAAAATGAAAAGAGAGAGAGAAACTGAGAAAGAATGGATAAAAAGATGAGAGAGAGAGAGGGAGAGGGGAGGGCCGGAGGGGGCTTGGTGGCTAAGGGCGTTGCTGAAGCAACACTATGCTCTCCTGGGTCCCTCCACCACCTCTCCTCTCTTCTCTCTCTCTTTTTTTTTTTTTGGTAATCTCAATCAATCTCACTTTTACCTCTTCCCACACACTTACCCACTCACTCATTTTATCTAATACCTCGATCTTGTTAGTCATACAATTTTACTTGATGACTTTTTATATGCAATTTTACCTGTGAGGATTAAATTGCAGCCAGATATTTTCATATTAATACACATCATGAGGCGCGGAGCCAGAATAGGAGCACATTTATTTATTTTTATTAAGAAACAGATTAATTAGTGGGAGATGAAAACGTAAAAATGGGGGTGGGGGGCATGGGAAGAATAGCAGAGTGGGACAAAGCAAATTGATGAGTGCTGCCACTCCAGGACAAGCAAAACATTGAATACGGTATAACCACCTGACGTAAACCCCTCTAAACTCTAATTACTCCCTGCCTGGGACCCACCTTCCGCCTGTCATGTCATTTCCTTGCCTCCCCCCCTCTCTTCTAGTGCGCCGATTATTAAGGCCCCTTAACCCCCGCATTTCAAATTAATTAATTCAACGCTTCCTCAGAAAATCTCATGACATTATGCCGCCGAGTTCTTGCACAACTAAAAACAACTTCCAATGACATATTAATTCCTTTTTACACTTGTCTCGCATCTCTGAATTTTACATAAACATGTTTCATTTACATTATTTATTTCCCCATGTGAAAGGGATCATAGGTTAGCTCTGGTCCCAAAAAAAAGAAAAGGGATCATAGGTTAGTTATTTTATTTTATCTTCTTTGTCCTCACCAGCGGCGTGGGAGCTGTCTTTTAGTTTACTATCGATATCAATGTCCTCCCTTTTGTTTTAACTACTTCGCCTGTCTTTCTTGCTCAGTGGGGTTTTCAGATATTTGTTATAAATTATATTAAAATTCAATTTTGGGTCAATAGGGCAGCAACTGAAATCTCCTCTCAGTGGTTCTGCCCCATCCTTTTCAATATGCGAAGTGGGGTGTTGTCGTGCAAGTCACTTAACAAAACCCTCTTAGCCCTTCTCTGTCTTAGTGAAAGCCAAACGTGTTAAGAGATATGATTCTCACCTTTACCCGTCCAAAGCAAAACCCCGTAACCTTTTCAGGATATCATTATCATTATCGTTACAGGCTAATTATGACATTTACATTGATCATATCATTAACTTAATAACGAGGTTGGTTAGCTTTGTGCGGCTCATTGCATTGGATCCATTGGTTTTGCAATTAAATCGCAAAGTACCGCACTTGAGTTTCAAATAGTAGATACCAGGAGGTCTTCAAGTGAGATTTATAGAAAGTTTCAGACTCTCTAATCTCGAGTTAGCTAGCTTCTGGATGCGACTTTCGTGATGATATGTGTGTGTATATATATATGTAAGCTTCGAAATGATCTTTTGGAATTGGCAAGAAGGAAAGTAGAAACGCTATGATTGTAGTATAAAAATTTGCTAATAAGCATAAGCAATTGATTGGCGAGGAAGGACTAGGAGTGAAGACAAGACAAAGTTGCAGGGCAATAAATGAGTGAGAATAACCGGTTATACCCTTTGGGCATCTCTGGGCTCAATAATGGCACATCCTCGTAGTTTCTGATCAGTGTGTTTATAGAAAAGAGGACTTGGTTCCATAATTACGATTGAGAAAGAATTTGTGGTCAGCTTGAAATTCTACACAATTCAAAGGAAGGCATTAAACGATCCCCACCTACCTCCCCAGTGAGTCATTGTGAAGTTCAATTTAAGACTCCGACACTGTTAAGGTTACAGGTCATCAGCATGAGACAGTGCTTGTTTGATTTTGGAAGCTTGTCCGCTATCCTCAGAAAGATTGGTGCTGCTGGTATCATTTTGATTTTGAATAATGCTACGGGCAAGTCTTGTAAATTAGTGACAAGAGGATAATGACTCAACAGGTAGAGCAGGTGTTTCATCTGGTTTAATATGACTTCACTTTTGAACAACTTTTAGGACTGCGTGTTTCAACTTCCCACCTTTTGAATATTATATATGGTACATGATTTTTCTTTGTAAAAAAAATGGTTGGCGATGTAGGCTTCCCAGCGAAAAAATGACAAATGATGGTTTGGTACAAGATCACAAGAACGCTGTGTATTTTATTTTGTCAATGAGGAAAAATTAACATGCGGTGTAGAAATTTTATCTTCATCTGCCATATTTTGTTGCTCTCCCTCTTCCCTTAAATCTATCTGCTTGAAACAATTTGTTGAAGAAAAGGAGATGACAAGTTTGAAAATGAAAAAACCAAGCTCCGATTTTGCCTTTTCATTTTCATGGATCGACGAGAAGGAAGAATGGATGAAAGGCAGATGCCAATGTCAGATTTTGTTACAGGGAGTCAAACCACCAATTTTCATGAACCGGTTGCCTGGTTCTCTGAAAATATAGATTTTGGTTAAAATTACGTGTTGTATTTTAGGATGGGCACATCACATGCCCTTTCTTAAACAGTATCGTATACTACAGGCTCTGGACTACTTGTTAACCAACTTGCAAGTTGGTATTTCTTATAACTAGATATGGAGATAGTACTTCTTATATGTCACTACTTGCCTTAGATTACTACTAAGTACCAATTTTTACGCTGTATTATTAGTTTTGCCCCAAGTTATATATCACCTACAAAGCATAATATGTCGGCGAAGCTTCCGACACCCCCAAGAATCCGATTCTACTCAGGACTTATCCCCTATCCCTCTCAAAGCAAAAAGTGAAGTTCCAGGAAGCCAAAGAAACCTTGGCAATAAACAGCAAATAATTCCATCCCTGCAACTGCAAAGCTTCAACGAGGCTTCTAACGCAAGTACACGTGACCATGTCCACCTGTTCCCACTGAAATATTCTCATTCTCTTGGGAATTTGCAATCACGTTCGCAAAAAGACATGCAGTGGCGAGATTGGAGGAACACCGCTCCCACTTGGAAGCATGCAACAGCAAACAAAAGCATGGAAAGATTGAAGGACAAACTGCTCTAGTGCTCTTGAATTTCAAAAGATATATAACTGCTGATGCTAATTTAACCTGCGGCAACTGTCGCATTTAACAGGACAAAATAGGGCGGAAGGGGGAAAAAAAGGATGATATAACATCACTCTTATAATATATAAAAAAAAGATAAGACCAGCACAAAACCAGGATAACATTCCCATGAATACAGACCTACTCCACTAAACTTCAAATTTTAAGCTGCTTCAAGCTCTGAGCTATCTGAGATTCTGGTGTGGAGTTCTCAGTCTTGTTGTCTGTCTCCTGAGGTTTAGCTGGCACTTTATCTGTCTCCTGGGGTTTAGCAGCCGCTCTATCTTGTGGACTAAGGGCACTTACAGTAAGGGGATCTTCTTTTGGGATCGGAGCAGGTTCATCTTTTCGAACTGGTGGAGCAGCATAAACTGGAATAGCCTGTCTAATATTGACTGGAGGGGCGGCTTGTACAGAGGGGCCTCCAATCATCTGATGGGACACTCCAGTTGATGGGGGAAGTGGCGGTGCAGAGAATACAGGAACCGCAGTCCTTATAGTCACCGGAGGTGCAACTCCACGGCAAGGTGATCTCATTTGTCGTATGGGGACATATGGTGCTGCTCCCGCTGCAGAGAATTTCATGGGGCGGGGCCCTCGGTTTTCTGGTACAGAAGTCTGTGCCATGGAATTGTCACCGGCTGCTGCCCCCTGTGGAGGTCTGCTTCGAGGTGACATCCTTTGGCAAATTAAAGGAAGGATCTTTGATGTGGTGACAGGTCGAGGTTGCGGGCTACTTGGCCTAGGATTTTGAATCTGAAACTTCTTTGGAAATGGAATTGGAGCATTAGCATTTGACATTGACATCTTTTCTTTCAGGCGGTAGTTCAGTAAAGCCCGTGCTATTGTGATCTGTTCTAATTCGTCATTGTTGTCTTGTTCAGATGAAGAGCTTGCAGTTTCTTTTGCCACTGGCAAGAAGGAGAACATGTCAATTGAAATAAAATTGTTTACAAGAGACATTATTTCTGACTTGCACAGAAGGAAAAAAAAATAAAGCTTGTCCTGATTATTGTAATAAAGAAAGATCGAAATTATGGAGCATGGTAATATAGCGTTTCAAGGAAAACAACCTGGGGCAAAAATTTAGAACCGTGCACCCAGGAAAATTTTTTATTGGTTTGCCTGACTTAGATGGTCTTTATCACCAATGGGCTATGAAAGTACACAAAAAACTTGACTTGAAGCAGATGGTCATTACACCACTCAAGTTTCAGAAGATGGAATTTCCAAAATGGTCCACTTGAGGCATGCCTTGAGAAAATTAGAAGAATAAAGAAAACAGATCCGTGGTGAGGCAATTTCACAGTTCTATTTGAAAATTTTTCAGTGTATATATATTCAGAGGACAAATTTATTAAGTTTCATATGTTTCAATGACAACAATTATCTACTAAGATAAAGTTGAGCCCATGGCTTACATTGTTTTAGTGATGACCAGGCTGCCATAGCTGCATTTTTCTCCGCTTGTTTCTTATTCTTGGCATGTTCACCAGTGAATGTGATGCCTGCCAATTCCACTGTCCCAGTAAAGACAGGTAAATGTCCTAAGCCTGATCTGTATGTTGTGTACTGGGGCAATGGAGCCCCAACCCTTTGTGCAATTTCCTGTAATAGGTTCTTGTACACTCCTGTCTCATCCTGAAAAATTAAATATGATAAGCAAATGCATGATAAAACTACAAAATTTTATGAGCACATACAAGATATTATAATACTGTATTTTGGACAGGAATGCACCAATGGCATGCAAATTACAGAAATTCCATTAGCAAGTTAGCATCAGATCCAGAAAACAAGTTAATGCGCATAGAAGCTGTGGTGTTTTCTTCTCTAGAAAATAAAGGAAAAGGTCAAATGCTGGCATGTATTGCATTGAAAAAGGTAAAACCCGAGAATCCTACTTAGTCTAAGTTACGGTTACTATGGATCTTCTCCCCCTTTCCTCATTACCGCAAATTGACCTGACAAAACTATGCTCACTAAACCATGTGCTCTAGGGCTAGGAGTATACAAAGGGCAAACTACTTTAAAGTTACAGAACAGGGGAGTAGAAAGCTTAATTCTAAGAAACAAATATCACCCCGTCTTGATTACTGGTTTCTAATCAAGATTGCCATGGAATAGAAACAATGACTTTAATTAAATGCATAATGTCAGCTGAGAAATAGTAATAGCGGGTGAAATAATGGATATACATCCATCTTCAGCATTTGAGCATCAGATCCATAAACTCGTAGACAAAACGAACATACAAAGTTACCAAGAATTTAAGCATCCGCTTCTGATTTTGGCAAGCATTCAAAGGGCAAGAAACTACTTATGGTTTCCAGGACAACAATAGTTATCCTGTGTTTTCCAGCACCTACTAATAGTCGGAGATCAAACTCAGATTCTGGGAAGTGAAACACAGCGTTGCACACTAACACAAGCCACAAAATTGATCATCAGTATGGATATCTATCATGAGTGAGACAACGTGGAAGAGATTCTTATATGGGCTCTTAGCAAGAGAAACTTGCGCAATATCCATCCAAAGATTATATTATATCCCACCATCTGCAACATGCCAGCATCCAGAGCTGAGAGCTCCAAAGGACTCAAGTTGATGTTAATAAGTATTTGCGAAGACAAAACTTTAGTTCCTCCCAGTCAATTAAAAAAGAAACAGAGCTTGTGAAAAATGCTGGAAAGATACCAAAAGGTAGACCCACAGAAACCGCTAATGGGCATTTACAGAGCCCCAAGCAAAATGGTGGAGGAGTTACTCCAGAGGCTTCCATAGAAACTTCCAAGTTCACAGCATTTCTAGCTTCTTAGAAATATTAAATTTCTAGCATCGTTCAACTAGTCAGAATATCGCACTACCTGTACCCAAAGACCAGGGGTATTTCGGTCATTTCGTGGCTGAACCAGACGCGCTAGGTTCAAGCGTCGGCAGGACAAACCCCTGTATCGGCGGCGAGCAGCGCCAACGAAAAGGGCGTAGAACTAAGCGCCTTTCAGAATAGCTCGAAGTTCATCCAGAACACAGAGCACCACGGGCATGTTAGTAGATAGCATTATATTTCTCCGCAAATTTTCCATTACAGAGTAAAATGACCGAGATGAAAAAAGAAGAAAGAAGATTGAAGCCAGGGTGAAAGGAAAGGGCAATCAAAACCCTAAAGTAACTGGACCCGTAATTACTGAAAGCCAGAAGGGGCGAGAAACTCACCAGAATCCGAGCGGCCAGCGAGTTCGAGGGCCCACGGCTGGAGAGGGAATTGAGGGCAACCTCAGCAGCAGAGTGCTCGGCCTGCCGGAGAGTAGAGCAGTAGTGAGGGCTCTCGAAGATCTCGCCGTTGAAGTTAACGGTGGCCTTGAACCTCGGCGCGTGATCGGGACCTTCCCTAATGCAAGTGTAGGAAGGAAGGTTGAAGCAGCTCCGTTGTGCCAGCTCCTGAAGCTGGTTCTTGTACATTTCTGCGCCGTAAGCTTCCGCACTTTCTCCCTCCAGAAAGTGGTCTACCAGGGGAAATGGTAGGCGGAGCCAGAGCCAGATCGGACCAAGTGGTTTCGGGTCACCCGGGAGTTAAAAACCCGGACTTTCCTCTGCTTTGTGTCCTTGGAATTAATTCTCCTTCAAGATCAAGTGTTGCAGGGGTTTATTGGTGGAGAAATGGGGGAAGAGGGAAAGAGAAAGGGGAAGTGAAGGTGTGCAGGGAAGAGAGAGAGAGAGAGGAAAGGGGGTAGAGAAGGAAGAAGGGGAAGGAGGAGTAAATTTCTAGTGGGGGGATTTTCTTTTGGGAGAATATTATTATATTGGAAACTTATTTATTGCTTTGTTGCTAGGAGTCAACTTAACGTTAGGCTGTTGCATGGACGTGATCTTTTCTTAGATTTTCTCTCCTTTTTTTTTTTTCTTTTTCACATTAATTTGTTTTCCATCGCGGAAATGAAATCTGTATGGTAACATGGTGATTACCTTTTTTACTCCCCCCCCCCCAACGCATCCTTTGTTTTTTTAAGGAATCTGACTTATGTTATTTGCATTTTCATTCGTTAGGATTAAAAATGTTAACCTAATTGATTTCCGTCAGAGAGAAGAAAAAAAAGGAAAAACTATCAAGTCTCACCACCAGCAAACTTGAAATCACATCATTAGGTGCGTGTATATCAGTTGAAGGAAATGAACCTGAGAAAAATTCACTTTAGAATGATCAATTTAGCAAAAGTAGCCTGACAAATAATCAGTAACACTAGGTTTACCAAGTAAAATGAGAAGAATCACAACAAAATGTTAAGAAAATAAAATAATTATTAATAAATCTTACCAATAGGTGAGTAGTTTTCATTTCTTATTTTAAAACTTGTGGTTCGGATATCAAAACAATTCTCTCAATAAAATTTAGCCTTTCATATTTGTCTTAAATATATTTTTAAGTACTGGAATTAATTTAGCATCTTTTCTTTTATCTCCTGTATTTATATCAGTTTCCGAGCCATGCAAAGTAGATTGTGAGAACACCTTATAAAAGTAACCCACGAAGATTTGTTCTGCTATTTATTTTAGTAAAATTAAAAATAGTAAAAGGAAACAGGTGAAGACTACTTATGTGTGCATTAATACCAGAAACCTATCATTCTCTAAACTAATGAGATGTACATGTGCAGCTACGACTATCTGTCCCATGGCTATTTAAGTGACCTCCGCAATAAATATCACATTACCTCAAACGCCTTAGCAAACTCTGGATTTAATCTTCGCACCGCCTTTTTTTTTTTTTGGGCGTGTTGATAGTCATTTTAATTTCCTAACAAAGAAATATTGAAAATTGTATGGTAGTATTGAAACTTCTCATCAATTAATTGTCCTTGACAGCTTGCTACTTTTTTAAGGTTTGCGGTGGTAATTAATTTTTATTGTGGCGGACTATAAGATGAACACGATATTTTTTTTGTGATTAATAAAATAAACTTCCTTCTGATTTAAAAAAAAAAAAAAGCACAACAGTTCAACAATCCTATCCAGACAAAGGGGCCAGTTAGTCTGCTGCATATCTTGCTCGAGTCCTGATACTGTTTACAAGGTGTATGGAGAGTTAATAAAAATCATATTCTTATATTTATTATATAAATGTATAATCTCAGCTCTAATTTATTATTTTTAGACTTCTCAATTGTTCAACCGTAAAGTTGAAATATTATTTAATTTTGAAATAAAATTAATAAAATTTAACAGGACCAAATGAGTATATAAAAATAATTACTGCTTTAGTCCCATACATGAGTAGCTTTAAGCATGGTTTACTATAGTTATAAAAAAAAAACTTCAAACCTCATTAATTCTGTTTTTTTTTATAAAAAAAAACTCAATGATTTTTCAAATTTATTCATAATATATACCATTTTCAAGAAAATAACAATATTTTCTTTTCTTTATAAATATGGCCGAGTATTTAGTTAATTATATCCGTTTTATATTTATTTTTGTAATCCGATGGATAAAGCCTGGAAATTCAAATGGGGCAGAGTTATATTTAATAGACAAATGAGTATTGCTGATAACGCTGAGCAGAGGAGCATTCATAAAGGCGTGTCATTATTTACGTGAATAATAAATATCTTTGGATTCTTTCTTTAAATTTGGTTTATTTTTTTAATAGCAAAATAGTCGTAGTTTTTAAGATTAGATAGTGGCTGCCAATGAAGTCATGATTCAAAACAGTAGTAATAATAAAGAGATCCCCTTTATTTTTCCATCAAAAAAGGGCAAAATAGTAACATAAGAGGCAGCGAGGAGCCTTATAGCCGGTCACGTGATGGGCATTAGTGGGAAATTCTAATTATGATTTCTTAGCCTCGAGTGACGAATGGGTGGTGGCGTTCACACGGAAAATTTTAGCCTTTTAGGTATCTTTCAAAAAAATATATTAATACAATAGATGGATGAGATGCCACAATGAATTACTCCTGCACCATAAAAAAGTAATCTTATTTTAAATACGTCCCTCCCCCTGGGGGGGGGAAAAAAAAAAAAAAAAGGTAGCCGATTGTGTGAATGATCAAAGTGTGTATGGTGGTTTCGTTGTAAAAAGAGGCGATAGAATGATTAAATCTCTCAAGTCAAAAAGAGACCATGAGATCTTCAGCAGGAGAATGCGAAATTACCTAATAGCTGCCCCTGACAATGAGAGAAGATGAGGATGAACATAGATTATTATTCATATTATTGGAAATCAAAAATCTTAGAAATGTTCAAATTTTCATATATAATAATATTATTATTAGTAGTACTATATCTACATGTCAACAAGATATCTCTATTTAAGAATAGTTAGTAAATTTGAAATAACTTCCAAACATAAAAAGATTTATTACAATTTCAAACAACACAAGAAATAATTTTTTCTTTTTTTTTTTGCCAGCGAAAAAGTTTCTGAAATTTAATTTAGCATAACTTGATTCTTTAAATTCAAATCATTTAGTCAATCAAATAGATTGTTGAAACTAAACAATTGATGTTCTTTTACCATTCATTTTCTGGGAAGGGTAAAACGGGAAAAGGGGGAAGGCATTGATGATGAAGACGAAGGAGGGTGGAGTTAAGTGGGGAACAAACTTTTTTAAACTCCCAAAACGGTGAAGTTTGACTCATAAAAAATAACGAGAATGCCACCCATATGAGTTGGGGGAGGGGGCTGAGTGCTTTTCTTTTTTAGCAAAATGGAGCCACCCAGATCCACAAAACCCCACCACGTGTCTCATCATCACAGCGCCTTTCCATTCCGTTTGCGATGCACATCACACCACCTTATCATTTTCATTATTCGTTCTTCATTTCCTCACATTAAATGGACCATCATGTCTTTCCATTACGCCCCCCGCAAAATTACCAGTCTGCCTTTTTGAGTCATCAAATAAATAAATGCTCTGCGAAATTTCCCTCCCCTACTCCATCGAAAGAAGAATCTGCCATCGGGATGCCTACAGTATTCAATTATAGTCGTAAAATTGAAAAATTTATGTCAATGATGAGTGAAACCAACATCCCATCCAATGACAGTACTTCAAAGAAGTATGAAATAATCTGCGACTCTGAAATACGGCATGCTTGGTTGCACGTTGCTTTTCCCATGCTCTGCTGCCCTTCGAGAATATGATCCCAGACACAACAGCATGGAACCATGTATGTTCGTATTCTAAATCAAATTCTAAATCGTACACTTTCTTTTGTTTGTAATGCTCGTGTTTTTTGCAAAATAAAATTATTCCAGGCCCATTGTGAATGATTTATAAACATCTTTTTAATTATAAATCATGGAACACAGAGTAATTATGTGACAAGTTGGGGTAGCAAGATTAAAACGTTATTTCGAGGTTGGAGTCACTGGTCCTTCTGTTTTCTTTCTTTCTTTCTTTTTTTTTTTTGGTTTTGTGGGGCTGGGGGGCGAAGAAGTCCAGTTTAACTTCAACAAGAAATTTCCAATCTTGAACCTCAATGTCGCGCAATCAATTGTACACATTTATTTATAAAATAAATCAAGCTGGACCCCAAAATAATCGACTTCTGAACACTCATTAATATCTTGATTCAAATACTGTCTCCGAAAAACCATGAGCAGGGTCCATTTTCCATTAAACGGAAGCAAGTAGCATAAAGTTATCCACCCATTTGGTGTCATCTAAAAATAAAAAATAAAAAAATGAGTGATCCACATCATGAATTCACTTGACTATCTTACAATAAATCATTACAAAAGAGAATCATTCGCAAATTGCCCAACTGCTTTTAGAATCCTTTTGACATCTTAGGTTTACTATTCCTGTAAAAAGTAACGAAAACAAACCAAAGGCCGGAATGAAATCCGCAGAACTTTCATTCAATAACAATTATAATACATGTTTACAGTTCTGATGGCCAATCACCAAGAGAAGGGGCTAGAACCTAGCAAAAATATCTCGTTCTCGACGTCTTTCACCCATTGACAAACCCGATTGCAAGCTTTTATTGCTGAGGCCTGCACATGCTCATTAATGCTCCAAAAGTTAAGAGTTCATAAAACAAGTGCAGCAAAAATTTTTATTTCTTTCAATATCAACCACCTTATATAACATGATATGTTCATCAATGGAATCACAGAAACACAGATATCTCATCGTTTGATTTGTATAACAAAATTAAATTCCAATAAGATAAACATCAATAAAGTCTCGATCAGCTGCTTGTCAATCTAGTAATCTTGAAGATGGAAACAAACATCTATTCTTAGATGGAGAAGAAACGCTATTGTTAATGTGAAATATTACTTGGTTTGCATGTTGATACCATTCAGTGATAACGGAATTCGAAAAATGAAAGCATAAATTATACCTTGTCTGCAAGGGGATCAAAGGCTGCATAAAGTTCAAAATCCTGTGTCACCCAACAGAGAAGAACTGCAACAATGAAAATGAGTCAGTAAAACTTTCTAGATGCTCAATTGAGCATGTAAACAAAATGAAACTTCATGATCCCTAGCTACAAGCACTTGCAATGTAATCCTTATCGCAGAATTGTTACTAGTTGCACAACAGAAAAATACAAAGTGAGATCAAATTGCTGAATGTTATGCCAGAAAATCCACTGTTTCTAAAGATAACCATCAACGAACTGTTTTATATACAAACAAGTGTGGAAAATGTTTTATATGCATACATGCATGTCCTAAATTAACAAGTGATATCAATGAACTGCGATAAATGTTACCATAGTTTTCATCTCTTCTAAATTGAGTTTTGTGCGGCCCAACTCCTTTATCATGCATAGATGCAAAAAGTTTCTGGTACGCCCTATACAGTCTGCAACAATGAAAGCTAGTTATACTACGAATAGAAGGGGAAAAAATTTAAAGACAAAAATGTAAAAAACTTCAAAGCACATGCATAAGAGGTGAACAGAGTCGCTGTTAAGTCTATTACCTTTTCTGCTGCCGAGGAGTGTTAATTGGAGACGAGAACTCTGAAGATACATATTGATCTAGATAAATACTGCGATATATAAAATGCCACAATCCAGCAGGACCGCCAACACCAAGATAAGGTTCCTTCAACCTTTCAAGAGACTCTGTTGGAGGCTTGTACTGGCCCAGATGAGGAGATGATTCAGAACGGGTTAAAGGGTCAACAAGCAGATCCTCAATGTGCATGCCACCATCTATCAAGGATCTCTGAACTTCACTAAGGACATTTGATTTCAAAAGGACCATTTCGATACGAATCCTGTAAATTTGCAAGAAAATTTCTAAGCCATGAAAGTCAATAGCTACATGGAGATCTGTGTCTTGCGATGCACTAATATGCTATTATCTCCCACTTCTTTCCAATTTGTTTTTCTTGTTTATGGGAGAACATTGTGTATTTCACTGTGGTTATATGTGCAAAGTTACACTGTACACCCTAATTGCAACCATATCAGTGGTCGGATTATTAACCACCATTTACCTACAATCCTTGAGATGATAAAAGGCATCTGAACTAGTGGTTAGCAACATCAAGTATGTGTCAGCCTGCCATGAAAATGCATCAACTTTGTCAATCAGGTGCCGACATAAATTGAAAACATAACAGTTAACCAAAAAAAAAAAAAACAAAGGTAAATTGTATATGGTACCCAAATCACTCACATCAAAATAATGGATATAGGCATACAAAAATGCGAAAGGATTATATCTTGGCAAGCAAACTGGAGAAAATGATTCTGATGTCCTGCAGAAAGCCCGATAAAAAATAATAAGAGAGTACACAAGCGATAAAAGCAATGAAATCTGCATCTTAACAATTAAAACCAAAGTCCAAACAATTTGCTAAGCATATTATATTGTTCAACCAACTATGAGATGCAGCCTGCAAAGAGAGACTTGCCAGTTCTACTTGCCTAAAGGATTCTGAGGACATTACAAAGTTGGCAAGTAGCAGCATATCATCTGGATGAAGAGAAGCTTTCTGAGCACCAACAAGACTGACTACCTATATTCAACCTTCTATATGTTATTGTATGTCAGGATATTATTAAAGTGAGACTAAGCAGTGAGCCAACCTTGTGCCTGCTCATTAGTATTGCAAACAAAACACCTGAATCAGCAATATCTTGCAAGATAGCGCTGGCAGCTTGCCTTGTAGCATATGCAAGAGGAAGACAAGTATAGGCATGAAGAAATGTAGCTGGATTCCTGGAACGGACGTACAAACAACACAATTTACTCCTCATATCTGAAATAATATAAGGGAAACTTGGAAAAGCTTATCACACAAACGACCATTATTTCAACCCTGACAAAAAAATACGCAGACCACCCAAAAAACAAAAACAGCTAAAACATTCCCATCTTAACACGTACTATTTTTTCTAAGTGAGCAAGCATGTAACAAAGAAACAAACCAGCTGAAAGAATGTATAAGAGAAGAGAAGACAATGTCTGTTCCTCCAAGCAGTGGTGTCATGTCAAACTTTGGATTCTTCTCAAAACATCTGTTCACTGACTTTGTCAATATAACTAACATCTGCATATCAATTTCAGGGCTGTATCATATAACCATCAGAACAAAACTTGTGCATCTAATAAAATCGTGCAACTTGAGAAACAACAGAAGCAGAAGATGGAGGCATGGTCCAGTAAGCATATCAATCCAAAACAATATTATGATAATAACTCAACTATACCTGATCATAAATAAGCTCCAATTGCCCTTTTAACGACTCATAAGGTTCTTCTGTGCAGCTGATGCAAACTAAATAAATTGGTCCTTTCACCAGAAAAACAACCTGAAACAAAATTTCAAACTAAGATTTCGCATACCAAAGTTAATTATAGCCCCCTTCCACCAGCATTAATCACAAAGATGAGCAGCTTACCAAGAAAAAGTATAGAAGATAAACAACATTCGTCACTTACCACTGAAAGTTAATTAAGAACTCAAAATATGACTTTGAATAGAATAAGTCACAAGGTCTCCAAGTTAATGCTTTAACAAAAGCCCAGCTCAAACGCAACAAAGCATGGACACAAGATAGAATGTGGACAACCGAGTACAGCAATTTCAAAATAAAATAAAAGGCACAATACTTCCAACATGCTCCAAAAAAAAAAAAAAAAGCAATATGAATGTAAAATGTTGCTTCACATTGAAAAACACAATTGAATGGTAAACAAGTGCCCAGACCTGATGCTTTCCAGCCCTCAACAATTTGACACGGTCACCCCTATAAGCAAAGAGAATATTGAAAAAAAACCCATATAAGTTGAATTCATAAAATACACAAACCAAACTGGATTATCCGTTAATGAGAAGCTATTAGGTTAAAATACAACTATGATATGGGCATCTGCATACCCGTCCTCTACAAAGGAAATTATTGCTTGCAAAGTAGCTGAAAATCCTGCAAGCTTGTGTTCATCCCCATATCTGGAAGAAAACAAAAATACACGGCACGGGATATAAGAGACCAGAGCACAATGTTTAAGGAGCAAACCAAATAGAAAGATGAACAGGTATTGAAGGAAGCCAATGACAGGGGTTTTCAAATACTACCTCGAATATATTGGTTTGCCAGAATTACTCAGAATGAAAAAATGCTTCTTCCTTTTCCTCCATGATATGGAAGCGTCATCCTGCGCTTTATTCATCAATCAAACAGAACATGGTATTACAGGAATCCTCATAAAAACTGTCCTACCATGTACAAGACAAATAGTCATTGCATCATAACAATTGACCAAAACGACTTTGAAGGGGAACGAGGGGTGTTTTATAGCACTGGCACCGCTCACTGAATAGGGCTTTGTGATCACGTATTTTAAGGTTCAACAATTGTTGTTCTTGCACTGCTGCTTCTTTTGCAGGATCGTCTTATATTTATCAAAATAATAGCTTCAAAATCCAGAACGTTGTATACTCACACGGAAGAGACGAATGCATTGAGAAGGGATTAATTTTATGTACAAACCTCAATTCAAATTAAAGACGAAGTTAATCTTCTTTATCAAACGAATTTCATAGTGCAGTAGGACAAAAAAGCTGGCACTAGGATGGACATACGAGTCGAGTCCACTCAATTGTTCTTACGAAGAACATGCAGGCAATATCTCCAACAAATTACAAGGTTCTCAAACCAACGATTAAAAAGATCAATCACATATATATTGATGATACATACCTCATCTACATGTCGTTTTGCAGATACCCAGGACGGTTGGGAATCAGAGACTTCATCGACTCTAACATCTTTCCCCGTCTCCTCAATTTCATCCGGTTCAACCACGTCGTCTCCTACCGAACCGCTAGTCGCACTGCTGCTGCCCCTTTCACCAGCATACCCACTACTGCTAGGGCTGGACAGCCCATCCAGCTCAATCTCCGAAGCGGTCCTCCCCCATACGACGTCGCGGTCTGCAGACTCCCTAGCCTCACCAATTTCATCAGCAGGAACTGAATTGCGTTGAACTTGTCCCTCCATTACAAATTGAGTGTTCTGATTGACAGACTCAAGGACAACGCCGTTTGTTTCTTGACGGGACGATGGTTCGCCACCGGAGACGGACAATGTGACCGAAGCCAATTGTTCTCCAACCGATTGAGGCTCGGGGTCGAGGTCACGGTCGGAGGCGGAAGAACCCGTATCGGAGGGCATCTGCGGCAATTTTTCGTCAGTATAGTCTGAAATCGCAATCAGGTCTTGATTCTATGATTGATGTGGAATTACTTCGCGAATTTGAAATCTTGGGCTGCCAGTCGCAGGAGCTGCTTGGCTGGCTCTGAGCGCCTCTGACCAGTAGGTGGATGCGCTCGTTGTCACTGCAGCCAGGATCCGACTTGACCCTGTCTCGCTATTCCGAAAACCCGGTAACCCAGCAGACTAATGGACCCGGGCAATGGCTTTTGGGTTTTGAGGATATGGGCATCAAGTAGCCCACAATAGCGAATGGCTTTCCATTAATTCAGTTATTTTTCTTTTTTATAAAAAAAAATATTTTCCACATTATACTACTTCCCTTCCTTAATATAAAAATTATGATATTTTAGGAAAGATAACACATATTTATTACAAATAACTAGTTTAATCAGTCTCTCTATATTAAGGATCGGAGGGAGGCAGTATGTAGTATTTGATGCGTGATGTTTTTAAAATGTTTTATTAATTTTAATTCTGAAGCGTGGATTTTTAAAAAATTTTAAAAGAATAAGTAAAATGTAGTTTCTTATAATTCCGTACTAGTAAATTTCTTAATGAACAGTTTGGGCTTTGCCCCCGTTACCACCAAAATAAAATTAATGAATTATTAAAAACTAAAATGAACTTCACTGTCATGCGAAACAAATATGAGATTTACTTGAGCCAATATTAATATCAATTATAATTATAATGATAACTCATTTTTGACCGTCTAGACAAGAGAACTCAATGTAAAGGGGTGTTTGAAAAAAAACTTTTAAAATTTATTTTCATACCTTAAAACTTTTTTCACGTATTTACTTTATATATTGTAAAATCACTTTTAAAATTATATATATAGTTTAAGTGTACCAAGAGATATATACTTAAGAATTGGGTCTTATATTTATGATCAAAATCAACTCAAGAATTGGGTTCTATATTAAGAACCGGAGGAGTATTAAATATATGTAATTTGAAAAAGTAAAAAAGAAAAAAGAGAGAAGAGATGAGGGAGGAGGGAAGAATCATGTGATGACAAAACAGTCGTGAGCTCTCAGTCAACTAAAATTGGTCTGCCTATTTTGGCCCAACATGCTTGGATAAAGCTGTTTGTCCTTCCCTTCCATGTGTCAACCAGCCTTTTTCTACAACCGTTCAACTCAACTCATCGCGTGACTCCATGCTGCATCCGCATCAGTATTTTTCCAAAAAGATAACCCCTATTTGCAGTAAAACGATGCTCTGGATGCTCATTTTGTTTTCTCCGCTATGAATTCTATAGTTGCCCGCTATCCCAAACATCAGAAAGTTGTGCACGGTTGTTATTCTCCTTAATGTGAAACATATTTAACTAATTTTATTCGATTAAAAAAAAACTAAGTTAGCTAACTACAATAAAAATGACATAATATAATAGTCATTTGTCTTAATACTCTCCTTTTCTCTCATACTTCATTAATGTTCAGGAAGTAGCACTAAAAGTAATTTGAAAAAAAATAATAAATATGAAAAATAGGTTTTAAATTTAGGACTGAGATTAATTTCGCAATTAGATCACACATTAAATATTGACGGGGAATTATTTACATTGAAAACAAAAACTAAGCAATTTGAGCTTTGAAAGACTAAGCATAGCAATATGAGGTTTGGGCTAAGTGGATACAGCCGAATAACTGGCTTTAATGGTTGTGGTATGCGCAGGAGAGAGCGTCCCAAATTCTCTCTAATGACGCGGTGAGGCGAGGAGCCGTCAAATGCTGCGTCTGAAATACTATCTTCTCTCCTATTTATAAAATTTCGTTTGTGAAATATTATCTCCTGTTTTATTTATAAGATTTTGTTTGTAAACTACAAACAAGATTTTATAATTAAGATGATAATACAACGAGGGAAAGGAGCCGTCAAATGCTGCGTTTGAAATATGTTGTTATTGCTAATTTCTGCGTCAGAAACGCAACATCCTTATCCTTATTTTCCACAAAAGGTCAAGCTTCAAATTGTACACTTAGAAAAGGGGGGGTGCTTCCTGCTTTTCCTGTTTTCAATCCACTCCATAGACTTGGAATTCCTCAGTTGAGTTGTAGTGATATTAATAATAATAACCATCAAATTTAATTCCTCCCTCATCATCATTAAATTAAAAATAGGTAATCTGAAGCTTTCAAAGGAAAAGGGGAAAAAATCAGGGAACTATTTGTGAGCAAGTTTTGATCACGGAGCGGATCCCGTTGACAACGTTGTTTTATCAAAAGGAAGGGGGGAATTAGTTATGAAGTTGTGGGAGTAGTTTTCATGTAGCGATAGGCTTTGGTCCCAGACCTAAACTCAACCACTTCAAAGCCCCAACCCCACCAATCATTGAACCACCCAGCCCACACTTTCCATTTCTTTTCTCTCTCCTGCTATCAGGGCCCCACCACCCTCCTCCTTCTCTTTCCCCATTTCAGATTTCGATTCTTCAATACCATCACTGACTCACTCCTCACAAATTCGGGTGTGTTATTTGGATCCAATCGCACCCAGAATTTCTTCACTATTTCCTCTTGGAAGCCCAGTAAAAACTCAGATTTCTAATCAATCAATACAAATATTCAAAATTAAAACCTCTTTTTCTCATCGGGAATACACTAATACTCGCCAAAAAAAAACAAAATACAAGGAGGGAAAAAAATTTTAATCTGGACTTTGTTCTTGCGCGAAGAACTAGTCCTCGAACCCGGTTTTGGCCCAAATCGCATTTCGGACCCGGCTGAGATCTCGTCCCTTCAGAGTCCTCCCAACCCCTTCGTGCACCGAGAATGAGGCCATCCTCGTCCTTGCCAGAAACTCATGAGGAGGCACCCTCCCGCCGCCTCCGTCGCATCCATCTTCACTCTCGTCGTCGTCGTCGATGCTGTCTCTCCTCCGGTTCTGTCCGTACTCCTCGCCGAGGATCTTTGACCAGTCCGGAATGTTGACCGGGAGCGACGCCGGAGTCCCGGAGGCGCGACCTCCCGGATCCGATAGCTTGGACGAAGACGATTTCCTGCCCATGCGGGAGGCGTGAACGGGCTTGCGGAACTCGGGCGAGTTGTTGCGAGTGGAGTTATAAATGTCAGACTCGTCGAATTCAAAGATGGAATCGGAAGCCATGGGTGGGGAATCTCTGTCTCTGTCCCCAGGGAGGAAACGGTAGCTTGGTCTGGCGAAGTAGCCCTTACTGGTCGCCATTTCCAATCAGAGTCACGGATTTGTTTTTGGTGCAGTCAGTTTCACCGCGCCTTCCCTCCTTCCTTCTCCGTGTGAGTGCGCGTCTGTGACTGATATGGTGATCATTAATGGCTTCCTCGTTTGTATTGCATCTTCTACTCCGGGGCTCCATTATGCTTTTATAAAGGCCGGGTGGCCTTTAAAAAATTTTATTTTATTTTTTTCAAAAGAAAAGGTTGGGTCGCATTATGGATAAGGCTCCATCTCTCTCATTCTCCGCACCTTCATCGTTGCGAAATTACCATTACACCCAAATAAATACTTCTAAAACCCCGCGAATTTTGCTTTCTGGATAATATTTTAAAATAAGCTTACTTCTTGCTTTCTTCCATTAAATTAAATTGACGTCAATTTAACAGCGTTATTCTTTGTGCCTAACGTAACGCCGTGAATTAACGTAGCTACTTCAGTTCAATTAAATTTCCGTTACTTTATAAAACGAGGAGTTTAGATGGCAGTAAAAGGTCCCAAAAAAAAAAAGGTAAATCCAATAATATAACAGAAAAGAAAGCGCATCCACTTCCCCCATTTTAACAGGGGAAGCAGGCCTTGATATTCCGTGCTTTACTATCAACGGCGGGGATATGGGACACGTGGCGGGAGATACTGAACAGTGGGAGGGGAAGGGGAGGGTAGTTCAGGCAAAGCGAATTCGTCTCTTACGAGAAAGGATTGAATAGCAATGTACAAACGAGGGCAGAAATTTGTCGCGACGCGAGGGAGGGGGGGTTCGGTTCACCTGACCTGGTTCCAGGAAAGAGGGCAAAGACGTTCCTGTTTAGACGATCGAGGAGGTGCCACGTGTAAAGATTTTATAAGAAGGACACGTGGAAACCAGCATTGACGTGGGAGGGAGGAGGTAGGAAGGCACGTGAAATAGCCCCCCCCCGCACTCGGATCTAGCGAATGATAGCCCTTCCTGACAGCTGGTCCTGGCCTGATGATATATCTGTCCTCCCAAAAGAGACACGCGATGTTATCCCCGTTTTATCGTGCTTGAATTTACCGTGCCGCCATTTCCCATGCCCCGAGTTTATGAGTTGTATTCAAGTGTTAAACGCATACGTATCATCATGCTTTGCGAAGGAAAGTAGGAAACCCATCGTTATGGCGTAAATAATTGATACCACTATTTATTTATTTATTAAGAAAACAATTTTCTGCTGGCCTTATTTTTTGATCCCCATGAAGTATGTTCTGTTTATGAGAAAACGTATATAGATAGTCTCTTTGAATTACTTTGCATTCCCACGAGTATGGAACGCTAAATATTTAGAAAAAGCTGGTGAGAAGAACAAAAATAGTGAAAGTAATGGTTGCGAGGCATATGAGTTCAGGATCCCAGGGAAGAAGAAAGTGGCAATGGAGACTAGGGTGGACTCCACAACGAATATAAAATTAATGGTTACTGAGGTTTTAGATGTCAATTTTTCCTGCCCTGAAAAACGACATTCTAAAACTAGTTTTTTGGATTTCTCTAAAACGATGTTGATGAATTTCGAAAAGGAAATAAAGAGAAGCTCCCTTAAGAAATCCACGATTCTGAACAAAACGGGGGGCAACAATGAGATTTAAGTACAGGGTAAAACATTGACAATGAGAGCAATGGAGATCGAGAAGCATCAAATAATGGATTATTCGGCTATACAATAATGACAATAATATACTCAGGGTATACGAAGAGAGAATATATGCCATACAATCAATCCCAATACAACATATTTTAATTTCATGGGCATATATCCATTTCCAGGGTGAATGGTTATCTCTGCGTATTATAAATTAAATGTTATTGGGTGATGAGTTATGGATTCGATCCGTAAGCCTGATATATCAATAGCAGGAAAAAAAAAAAAAACTAAACATGACTGAGTGTAACGAAAAAGCTAATTTTTTGTAACACAACGAACTAATGTTTTAATAATTCTTGTTGAGAGATATGTTCATATTTAGTATTTAACAGTGTTTTGAATGGAATTATCTCCCACAAGGGAATACTTGCATTTAGCCAAAAAAATAGTACTCATCTGATCCTTAATACAAGATATATTTAACTAATTTAATTAGATTAAAAAAGTTAGTTAATTATACAAAATATGACATGTTTTTTCTAAAACACCATAATCATCTTTCTTAATATTTTCTTTCTCTCTTTTCCTTGATTATGGTTGAAGGAGTATTCATAGGGGTGATTTAGAAAATTAATAAATATTAAAAATAAGTCATATATTTAGAACCAAAATCAACTCAACATAGATTTTATATTAAGGACTGGAGGAGTATTATGAATGAACATTAATACGTTAAGATTATTTCTTCATTTTGTTCCATATATTAAATCACGACTCATGGAGTTAATTATAACAGGCCGTTGGAGCTTGGAGGGGGGAAATTGAGTAACCCGTGATGCCGTGGTTTGGCGTTAATTTTAATCGAATGATACTGGTTGCATGAATATATGGCAGATAACACGTGAAGGGTGATTCTACCTTTGCCTGTGTTGTGCCACTTTTAGGTCTCTAAAATGGAAACTGACGATGCATATATTTACACACAATTAAGAAGTAATGAAACGCATGCTTTCTCATGTTTCACGCTTGACCTTTCCCTAAAGGATCCACGCAATTCTTCCTTCTTCTTTTTTGAACTCTGATCACCAGATCGGCCCAATTTTCTGAAATTTGTACAGTTTTTTTGCTCATTTTTTTTAACGTTGTTTTCATGGGGGTGTGCTAACTGTTGTTAAACTTGATTATCTGAGTTCATTTCTAGTTAACAAAATTGCATGATGTGTCAGTTTGCTCTTAAACTCACGCTAATAATTATAAATCCAGTTAAACTCATAGATTGACTTTTTAAGACATCTGTTTTTATGAATTAAATAAGTTAAACATGCATTAAGTATAACTCATTCACAAAATGTGTAGGAAGACCCAATAAAAAAATTTAAAAGTTAGAAACTAATATTATCTTTGAACTTTAGAGAAATTTCACGTGGAGTATAATGAATTATGAATATTGATTTATTTAATTTTAATGATTTGATACTTTCGTCATGATATTTCTATATTTTCAAGGGACTATCTCCATGGTTGTAAACTTGTATTTTGAATATTTTTGTCTTTCACTTCATAATATAGTTGTTTTTTTTAATTTAAAATGTTTTCACTGATTTCATAATTTGAGATATATGTCAATCAAATTCTTGTTTTTTTAGTCATTTAATCACATACTTTTTGTAATTATTTGTTGTCCATGCGATCAAAGTTTATTATCTGAGTTTATGTTTTTATCATAAATTTGTGTTAAACTCGTGAATTTAATGACCTTTTTTCAAGTAATTGTTGAGCCAGGCAATTATTGCTATGTAACTTGAGACGTTGTTGCATATCCAGGTTTTAATTAATACTTTCTTCAATTCAGAAGAGTTAAACAGTAAGCTAATTTATAGAAACTAAAAAAGTTCATATAATTTCATTATTTGCAAAGAATGCGTGCCATGTTAAATATTTTGGATTTAAGCCTCAATCTAGAACTCTTGAATTTTGTTTAGACGAAAGGAGTTCACAACTACATAAAATATTACTATATATTGATATGCAATCGAAGATAAAATTATTAAATATTTAAATTACCTATTCAGTTTAACAGTGAAGAAATGCATGATAAATACTAAGGAAAGCAACCTGGTAAAAGGCCATACGACTCTCTGATCTCTTTTCATATTGCCGACAAGAATCAATGCTTGGAAATAATTTTTTAAATTAGGTAATGGTATCAGCGTTATCTAGAAAAAAATATTCCTCAACATTCCATCAAGAATATAAAATAAAAATTATTGTCGCTTTTCCTGCCCTTGATTTAAAGAGAAAATACTTGTAGATATTGCCCAGCAAATTTAAACACGGCTAAATAAAATCAAACCCTAACCACCTCACCCTCTGGAAAAAAAAGGAAATTCTTAACCACTATTTATAATTCTTTTTACCACCTGCGCTCTTGTGTATGACTAGTCATATCACACATACTTGTGCCTGCGTGCGTATACGACTGTATATCTTGCAGTTACAAGTATAATTGAATTTGAAATCTATTATTTATAAAAGAGTTTTTATACCATCAAACTACAAGGTAATTAACTCGAGTTTAAATTTATATGAGTATTTTAAAATCATCAGATCTGAATCGTTTATATCTAAGTTGAATAGTTTAGATTTTAAACATTTAATTAGTTATTTTTAAATATAAATTTTTTTAAAAAGAATGATAATTAAGAAATTATTTCTATTTTATATTCTATACATATTAAAATAATTATTTTAAATAAATAAAAAAAAAATCAAATCCAAGTCATCCAAATGAGATGTGGATAATCCAGATCTGATTATTTTAGAGTGTTCATCAAAATGATTTCCTATATAAAGGTGTGTGAAAGTGAAAGTGTGTGGTGGGTATATGGGATACGTGTGAGGGCAATATAATGCAAGTAGGAGTTTGATTATTGGGGGTTGCATTTCAGGAGGATTTGCATGCCACTGATGAAATAAGCATCTCAGGAAAAGGCCAAAGAACACTTAGACGTTGCTTGCAGCTTTTGATTTAGTGGGCTTTGTTTCAACCATTAAATTAAATAGTTAAAAAAAAGGCATCAAATTAGCTAGGATCATCTATCCATGTTGAACAAATTAAACCAAACTTATTCATATCAACTTCCAACTTATAATGGGATTCTTGCTGTTTCCCAGGACATCACCATATTGTAGTGGGACGCTCGTGGAGATTCCTATTACTCCATTATTTTACTTCCCAAAATCATTTCATCATTCTCATTCTCTCTTTCTCTGTCGTCCTGTTCGTTAATTATATCCACAAATTAACCCTAATTGCGCAGCTCTGTCATGCTGATTAATTAATTAACCAGCAAGTTTATGTGTTTTATTAAAAGGAAACAATCAGTGCTGGTGTTTCATATCTCCATGTGATTTGTACTCCTAATGAGGGAAAATTAAAGCTGAGAGATTATTAATGCGAAGAATTTGCATCTCGTAGTTTAAAATTTTGGGGGAGATGAATGTATCT